AAGGGCAGAGAGCTCCAGTCCCACTCAGACGCCAGCAAGGTGGAGGTGGAGTACTGGTTTGGGCTGGTATCATCAAAGATGAGCTTGTGGGGCCTTTTCGGGTTGAGGATGGAGTCAAGCTCAACTCCCAGTCCTACTGCCAGTTTCTGGAAGACACCTTCTTCAAGCAGTGGTACAGGAAGAAGTCTGCATCCTTCAAGAAAAACATGATTTCCATGCAGGACAATGCTCCATCACACGCGTCCAAGTACTCCACAGCGTGGCTGGCAAGAAAGGGTATAAAAGAAGAAAAACTAATGACATGGCCTCCTTGTTCACCTGATCTGAACCCCATTGAGAACCTGTGGTCCATCATCAAATGTGAGATTTACAAGGAGGGAAAACAGTACACCTCTCTGAACAGTGTCTGGGAGGCTGTGGTTGCTGCTGCACGCAATGTTGATGGTGAACAGATCAAAACACTGACAGAATCCATGGATGGCAGGCTTTTGAGTGTCCTTGCAAAGAAAGGTGGCTATATTGGTCGCTGATTTGTTTTGTTTTTGTTTTGAATGTCAGAAATGTATATTTGTGAATGTGGAGATGTTATATTGGTTTCACTGGTAAAAATAAATAATTGAAATGGGTATATATTTGTTTTTTGTTAAGTTGCCTAATAATTATGCACAGTAATAGTCACCTGCACATACAGATATCCCCCTAAAATAGCTAAAACTAAAAACAAACTAAAAACTACTTCCAAAAAATTCAGCTTTGATATTAATGAGTTTTTTGGGTTCATTGAGAACATGGTTGTTGTTCAATAATAACATTATTCCTCAAAAATACAACTTGCCTAATAATTCTGCACTCCCTGTGTATATATATATATATATATATATAAATATATATATATATATATATTATATATATATATTATATATATATATATATACAGTACATATACACAGTCGGGGTAAGTACCAATAAACTGCATGTAACTGTATATGTTACAGTTACATGCACAGTTAGAAAATATGAAACAAGCCAACATTTTGTCACTATATAATGAACTATGTAACACAAACATTCCTAGTCTGTCCCATTTCACCTCCGTGCAGTTACCTCCATGAACAGTTGTAGTCCTTTCACTGAGTGCACTGCTGCCAGCTCCTACATAACTCCCAGTGTCCCACTACAAAAATGAGTAACTGGGCTGTGTGGTGGTCATCACGGCTCAAACTCCAGAGCACAAAGTCAATAAACTGTCCACTTAGTTTTTCAGCTGAAGAACCAGATTTCCTGTAGTAGCCTCAGTCCGTCCTGTTCTCCTGAATCATGCTTCTTTTTCTCTCAGCATCTTCGAGTGGCAGAGTCCACCAGACACTCTGTTGCACTTTGCTAAACTTCCTGTTTACTCGTGTAATGGTGATTTTCAGGGACGATTGAAGGCTGGGTGGCACCTGTGGGCCATCCACAATACGAGGTTAGTCATTCATATACTGCTGCATGGGCTGGGCTGTAGTTACATCCCAAGGTTTTAAAAACTGAGCTTAAATAAATGATTAGCGGTAATAAAAGCCGAGGGAGGTCAACAGGGATCACTGACTGTTTTAGGAGCTTTTTGAGATCAAATAGAAGAAAATACAAAACATTAAACATGTTAACAACACAAAAGCCATATTAAACGCAGACTACTTTAGACCCGGAAGTAGGATTCGTCGCGTCATCACTGAACAACCGGATAGGGTCTGTCCCAAAAGGCCTTCCTGTTCTTTTCACAATAAAGTCCTTGACATACTAGTTTTTCCTTATTAAAGAATGCCTAACATATGGCACCAGCTTAATAGAAAATGTAATTCCACTTGTCAAAACATGCATTTGTTGCATAAAGTAATGGCAAAAAACACAAAATTTTTATTCATGGTTTAACAGCATATAGTGTGAATTTCAGTTCTTCCTTTAGAAATGTCTGCATACAAGAAGAAAGCGTATCCAAAGCACAGAGAGGCAGAAAAGAGCCAGCTTTTATTTTTACACAGCTCTGATGTCGATGTGAGCGGAACGCACACACTTCACGTAACGTTCACTCATTTAATCCCCGATCCAAACTCGGTCTCACGGACGTATCGGGCCTGGAGCACAAGCTAAAGAACAGCGAACAGTATGTTTATGGAAACTTTCTGTGGGTGGGAGGGTTCTCCTGGAGCTCCTTCAGGGCCCGTTCCTGCTCCAAAGCGCCGCTGTGGGCTCGGATGATGCTGTTTGTGGGTCTCCTGTAATTTGGCGCTAACCTGTGAGCGCGCTGAGCTCTGCTTCCTGTGATGAAATATCTTGCACACATTAACATATTAATTGAGAATTTCCAGCCGCCGTGTTGTTCCGATGGATGGATTCAAAGCAGGCTCCGAGTCAGAGGAGGAATTTAATGAGAGCGATAACGACTGCGGCGTTTTGGAGAAAAAGCTCTCATCTCACCCCGGGAACCCCCACCTTATGTAATCTGCCCTCTCATTCAGCGCTGCCGCAGTGTGATTGTTCGAGAAATGAAAAAGCCATTTTGGAGCGGGCGGCGCCGTCTGTTGTGTCGCGTGGCCCTCGTTGTCAGAGCCTCGCAGGGGTCATCGGAGGTCAAGAGAATTATGATTACGCCGTAGCTTCATTCGGCGGGGGGGATGTGGAGCCTGCCGCCAGCGTGATGATACCTCTGCAGAGGGCGGGAGTCCGTTCAGTCCACTAGGTTCATCACGACAAGATGGGGTCAGCTTTTCCTCGCCGGCGTCCGAATGTAAGAGCGAGAGGCTGAACGAGAGGGCGCAAACACGTGTGATTACTCAGATCTAAAAGGTGGGACGGCAAAGGTGAAACAGATTTGATCGCATTAAAAATCCTGAATGAAAACGTAGACAGAGCCTCGCTCAGGCTGAGCTCACCTGACTTCACCTGAGCACTTCCTGTTTCTCCTCATTCAACCTCATCCTTTAGTTTAAGGTCAACGAACTTCACAACACTCATTAATAAATGATAAACCCAATTAAGGGTAATTAAACACAATAGTTTCTATCAGTGCGTTACACTTTATTACCACCGTGATAAACGTGGAGGGGAGAAGTGGGCGGGTCTTCCTGTTTCACTCACGGTTTAGTTTTGGTTCTGTTGACATCACAGTCTGGGTACAATGTGACGAGAACCTCAGCCACACACCAGACTCCATTCAAAAATTCAAACATTTACTGCAGTGTTGTCTGACTCTTACTGAAGGTTTGTTCTGAACAAACAGTGACCATGTGATGTCACCTAGGGCGTACCTGCACTCTGAACCGCTGACATCACTTTAGCTGCAGCTCCATCGTTACAGGAAGAAGCTGCACTTTGGCCCAAACGTGTTAACATGCAGACCCTCCCCTCTGTCCTCATCGTGGAACAAACTGCACTGTAAGAAGCTAGCTCTCTGGTTGTGGACACTATGGGCTGGATTTGCAGGCATCCTGGATATGCATATGGATGTTATACCTGATGTGTACCTGCCCACAGAGCTCAGCGTTTCTGTGCTCAGTCCATGATGGACAAACAAATAAGTTAATCATGGAAGCGTGATTCTTCTTTATGCCACAGAAATCACCTCGGTCCGAAGCAACACACGTTGCTGTGAACTATTTACAGCAAATATTTCCTATTTCTTTGTGCTTTTATTTTGGCGTTCCGTGATCGGAGCGAGGAGTGATGTCACATAATGTGAGTTTCTGTGTGCACAGACCCAGATTTGTGTAACAGTTCATTATTGTCAGACTCACACCAGCAGAGCTGGTACAGGCAGAGGCGGGACCAAGTCATTGTTTTGCAAGTCTCAAGTAAGTCTCAAGTCTTTATCCTCAAGTCACAAGTCAAGTCTCAAGTCAAGTCTCAAGTAATGTCAGGCAAGTCAGAGTCGAGTCTCAAGTCACTGGTGTAAAAGTCCGAGTCAAGTCACAAGTCTGAAACTTTGAATTTCAAGTCCTTTCGAGTCTTTAAAAAAAAAAAAAACGAAAAAAAGCATGTTGCAGTTATGCTAAATGTAAATATTAGACCATGTAATTTTTAAATCTGTGTTTTTCTCAACACATGACAAAAGTGAACGTAGAAAATATACACAAATTGTGAAATTGCACCTCTTTAAAATGCAGCTCAATTAAACTTAGCTCCAAGAATAATTTTCACCGACAGTTCTGAGATAAGCTGCATGTTATTCTTGGATGCGGTTGTAGGACCGGCTTTAAAATCGCATGACAAAAATATCATACACATTAAAAAAAACTGCATCACCAACGTAGCCTGGACAACATTTGCTAGTTAGATGAAGTCATGAAGCCCCGCCTACCGTTCTTTATACAACTTCAACCGTCGGAGAAAGTTGGAAGTTGTTCCATCTCTGTCTGTGATTCTCTACTTGCATGTTTTGCATATTGCATTTCGGGTTTTTGTTGACTACTTCATAGTTTATGTACCTGAAAAAAAATATCTCCTTGCAGCATTTGAGCGTTTTTTTTTTTTCTTTTTAAAAACAAGAAAATCTGGTTAATTTGATTGGCTGTGCTACAGCTCACGCACACATACGTACGGAGTGTGGTTTGAATAAATGAATGAATTGAATTAATGGTGCACACTTTCTATATAATATAATATAGTATGCGTGTTAAATTTTATATTTGGGGTGAAACATCAAGTCTTTTCAAGTAAACCGGTTCAAGTCCAATTCAAGTCCCAAGTCATTGGTGTAAAAGTCCAAGTCAAGTCACAAGTCTTGGAACATTTTTTCAAGTCAAGTCTAAAGTCATAAAATTAATGACTCGAGTCTGACTCGAGTCCAAGTCATGTGACTCGAGTCCACACCTCTGGCTGGTGTAAACCAATCCCAACAGCTGCTCGGCATTTCCGATTTCCTGCTTCGGAAACAAAAGTCTGCGTGAACGCCCCAGCTCTTCGTCTTTCACTCACCCTCCCAAACACGTTGGACTCGCTGGCCAAAGATACCGAGTCGCTCCTCAGAGACAGCAGGTCGCAGCAGTCACGTCTCCTCCGTCGCCGCTGGAGGTCGGCCTGCTCGCGCTCACCGCCGCGAAGGTCGGCGGGTCTGAGGGTCCGCCCACTTTCTGCAGCGATGCTTCTTCGACCGCAGTCCCAGGTTTAAAACATCCGTCAGGCCGGCGGCCTCGAGCCGCCATCTCTGTGTTTCTCTGTGGACCAACAAGCACTCGTTGGATCAGCTGGATCATTAGATGAGAGCACGTTTACTGATAAACAAAATGTCTGAACACCACGCTGGCCGAGGCGCCCATCGCTACTATGTCTACACGATTCTCCAGGTTTGGCGGTGAAGCCTGGCGTGTTACAGTCACGCAGGGGCTCGTTTCAGACGTTATGTACCAGGCAAAGACTGAGCAGCATCAAAGCTTCAAAGGCAGAAGTTATAAACTTTTCTCACCAGTGAGGAAGAAATCTCAGAGCTTCCACGCGACAATCAGATTGTTGTTCGTTTTACGTGGTCGTATGTTTGTGTGGACATGTGATCAGGTTCGTCATGTGCTGTGGAAAGAGGCTGATGACACTTTTACCCCACAGCACACAGAGTACACGTAAAAGTACTGCAGTCTCTGGAACAAAGTGTACTTTAATAATCAGAGAAAAAGTACTCAGAGTACATTTAAAATGTCCATCTGAAGTATTAAACAGGACTTTCTCACTAAACAGCGCTAGTGATGAAGTTGGCCAATCATCAGAAAGATGTCTTAAAAGGGGAGGAGCTTGTGTGAGTCACAGAATGAGTTGAGTATAAAACAAATAAGGATTATTTTAAGCTGTGAGTCATGCAAAGCTGCTGTAACTTAGTGACACAATATCCTGCTCCGTTGCAGGACGACCTCAGTGTCCTCAGACGAGTCAGCGTGGCGAGGATGGGCTCTGTTTTTAACTTTATTGGCTTTGATTTGATCGGAGTTTCTCAGCTTGTGGGGCCAGGACTCCCAGACTAAACATGTCCAACCAGACAGGAAGGGCCTACGCTTTCAAAATAAGAGCGCGGGATAGTCAAACAGCAGCCTGAGAGTGGGTGAGCTGCTTCAGTGAACTCTGCACACATCTTCTCATGGCTTTCCTGCCTTCAGTGGCGAAGCTCAAGAAGCTGGGCCCGTTTTAAATTTTAAGTAGAAATGGACACGCTGCAGGTTCGGGCACACCTGAGATGCATTGGCTCAACTCTCGCTGCATATTAACTGTCAGCGGCGGCCTGCAGGGCGTCTTTCACCACGTGCTCGCTCTGCGGTTTGGCTGTAATTCCATTTGTTGCGTCGTCCTCGGTCGGAGCTTCCCCTTCGGGACAGATCGGATCTGATTTAAAGGTAAATCGGCAACCTCGCCAGTAATCTGCGTTTCTTTATTTGTCTGCAGACGCGGTGAAGGCGAACGCTCGCAGAGGATGGAGGGTTAACCCCCCCCCGTTCCAGGCGCCGCGTGGAGCGAATCCCCTGGTGAACGCTCAGGCCTGTAAATTGTTTATCAGACACTAATGCAGGAGCCTAATCCTATTTGCATTCATATTAGTTCCCCGTATCTGAGGGAATGACTTATTTCAATCCTTCGGAGGGTAAATAACTTTATGCATGATATCAGTATCGTCATAATTCACATCAGTAAAGTCAATTTGCTTTAAGTGGTCCTCCGCTGTGAGCTGCAGAGCTTCAGAGGAAACTTATTTGGAGGCGCTTTGGATCAGTGAGCGCGCTCACACGAGGGTGGGTAATGCAAACCTCTCAGAGGAGTGCCCACCCTCCCTCTGCAGGTTCAAGTATCTCCTGCTTCCATTTCCTGTTTCCTGTGGCCAGCAGACTTTTCTTAGACGCATTTTCACAGCAAGTTTTTACATCCTTTCTTGATTTGTGACACCATCAAGAGTCTGTACAGAGATGTACCCAAAAACATGAAAAAGAAAAAAAAAGATGAAAAAGGTAATGAGCAGGAAAACAGGACACAGGTGGAGACGATGTGGGCGGGTCAGAAAAATCACAAAAACCGGAAGTAAGACACGACACGGTGAGAAACTAGCCTAAAACAGGAAATGACGCTAACGCTGTGTCCACGATGGCAGCGATTTGTTTGTTACTTAGAAGCTGAGAGCTGGTTGGACGTTCCAGGCTCCGGTTGCCTAGGTGACCGTCTAATATATTTATTACCAGTTATTATTATTATTATCAGTCAAAGGTACTCTTCACTCGCATTGGTAGTTGCTTCAGTCACCTGGAAGCAGCTAGCACTAGCATGTTCTTCACTTCCTGTGGTCTCTGGTTGCACGTGTATACAGAGCCACTGACAACCGCCTGGCGACCTCTGGTTGCTAAGGAAAACAAATCCCCAGCTGGATGGTGAGCGGTTGCTGGAAGTTGCTGAGTAAAATGAAGAAAACCTTGTGAAATTTGTATGGAAGACGTCGACTGGTCTGCACACGCTCGTCAGCTGCGCTCTGAGCTGTGCGGCCTGTCTTTGCACGCTGCCGCATTTATTTACTGATGATGTGACTGACTTGATGCGTGAAATGGGACGAGATGTGACGGCCTGCAGACATTCAGATGCTTCTCGGTGTCTTGTGTCAGGAGGGGCAACGAGCTTCACTGATAAAATACTGATTATTGTTTGCATGTGGAAAACGACACGAGTGGAGTCGCTGACAACTCCACTGGCGAGGAACAGGAAGAAGAGAAGTCTGTCACGATCTGAAAAGCAGGACGTTTGAGATAAAAGACAGCGCAATGAAAATACGAACATTTAAAATAGTTCACGGTGAACAAAACATTACTGAAAACACGCCTAAAATCCACAGCGGGACGAGCGGCTACGCGGCGCATAATTACCGCTCTAAACGCACAGACATACGGGAACATGAAAATGAGGAAAAGTGGTTTTGAAGACGCAGAAAAACGTGTCAGGCTGATGAAGAGAGACTGTCAGGAGGGCCGGGCTTTGAACTTGATCAGAGGCGCGTTTACAGAAAGAACAAAGCAGCAAATGTGGAGAAGAAGAGCGACCTGCAAGCGCTGCCAACAAAGATGAAGCCATGAATAAAGATGAGCCGTCTCTGGACTCACCTGCTCTGTCTCAGTGACGACCGGCGACGGCACGCTACCGCCTGACTCCCCGGCTTCGTCCTGATTGGCTACCCCCATCATTAGGTTGGAATCTGGGTCTGGAGGCAAAGCTGCATGTAAGCAGATGGAGGCCAAACATGAAGACAAGCCCACACCTTTATCTGATGGTCGTGTGTTTTCTCAGAGGTTGTTATAGTTACATCGAGACGTTACTTACTCATCAGCAGAACCTCAGCAGGTGAAATCTACGAAGGAACGTCAGCATCAACGTTCACGTATATAATGTTACTGATTTTGAGAACAAAGTTGAAATTGTGAGATTACAGACGGCTCGTGTAGACGAGTCAGTGAGACAAAGTGATGGTCCGTCCTGTGATACAACAGGACCATCGATGACCTCACATCTGTCCAGATGTTTCTGCCAGCTTTTTCCACGTTTGTGTGTTTTTCCTGCTGACCACACGTTCAGCGTCACCGCATCGCCGCCTGTGTTTATGAGCTGAAGGGCTGAAAGAACGATCTTCACTTTGCACTTTGTGCTGAAACTTCAGCTGTTAATTCAACTTTATTCTCAAAATAGAGTAAAAAATAAAAAACTTTAATGTGGCCAAATCCTCCATCCTAGGCAGATCCTCCTCCCCCAAATGACATGAGTGTGTGTCTGTGTGTGTCTCTGTGTGTGTTTCTGTGTGTGTGTGTGTGTGGTGTGTGTGTGTTCTGTGGTGTCTGTGTGTGTCTGTGTG